ATCCTTCAAACCCGACTTCGTGTTGATTCGGCAGAACCTCAAGGACGCCGGCGAAGACCACAAGAACATCCTGCTGGCACTCAAGTTCGGCGGCGTCCCTTCCATCAACAGCATCAACGCTATTTACAACTTCCAGGTAAGTTTTGGCACTCGCGCAAAGACGTGTTTTGCGCATCCTCTCAGACGCCGTCGCTCTCTTCGGCTATGCCAGGTTTCGTGTTTTTTCTTTTTTCTTTTTGTTTTCTTTCGGTTTTCGTTGTTTTTTTCGGTTAGTTATTTGTGTGTTTTCATTTACATCTACTGATCTTTTTGGCTATTTTTCTACTATATCTATTTTTTTTCTGTGTCTCTTTCTGCTCTCATATGTGTATCCATGTATATCCATCCTCCAATCTTTTTCTCTCTCTCTCTATCTCTATCATCTATCTATCTATCTCTTCTCTCTCTTTCTCTCCCCTCCTCCCCTCCCTCCCCCTCTCTCTCTCTTCTCTCTCTCTCTCTCTCTCTCTCTCTCTCTCTCTCTCTCTCTCTCTCTCTCTCTCTCTCTCTCTTCTCTTTCTCTCTCTTTCTCTCTCATCTCTCTTTCTCTCTCTCCCCTTCTCTCTCTCTCTCTCTCTCTCTCTCTCTCTCTCTCTCTCTCTCTCTCTCTCTCTCTCTCTCTCTCTCTCTCTCTCTCTCTCTCTCTCTCTCTCTCTCTCTCTCTCTCTCTCTCTCTCTCTCTCTCTCTCTCTCTCTCTCTCTCTCTCTCTCTCTCTCTCTCTCTCTCTCCATCTCTTTCTTTCTTTCTCTTTCACCCCCCCCCCCTTCCCCCTTTCTCTCTTTCTCTCCCCCTCTCCCTCTCTCATTTCTCCCTCCCTTTCTATTCCTCCTCCTCACCGAACACCAATCCTAGTAATTTCCCGTCAAGTGCCACCCAACATACCCCAAAGGCAGCCAGACCATCGCGGACAATTATCAGGAAAGTTAACAACGACACCGATATTAACCAGGCAGAGGGCCAAGCGAGCCCCCAGTGCCAAGGCGAGGGGCCAAGCGAACCCCAAGTGCCAAGGCGAGGCCAAGCGAAAGTGCAATGCGAGGGCCAAGCGCCCCAGTGCAGGCGAGGGCCAAGCGAACCCCCAGTGCCAAAGGCGAGGGCAAGCGAACCCCAGTGCCAGGCGAGGGCGCGTTGCCACCGAGTGCCAAGGCGAGGGCCAAGCGAACCCCCAGTGCCAAGGCGAGGGCCAAGCGAACCCAAGTGCCACGGCGAGGGCCAAGCGCGAACCCCGCCAAGGCGAGGGCCAAGCGAAGCCCCCAGTGCCAAGGCGAGGGCCAAGCGAACCCCCAGTGCCAAGGGCCAAAGAGGTGCCAAGCGAGGGCCAAAGCCGAACCCCAGTGCCACGGCGAGGCCAAGCGAACCCCCAGTGCCACGAAAGCGAACCCCAGTGCCAAGACGAGGCCAAGCGAACCCCCAGTGCCAAGAAGCCCAAGCGAACCCCCAGTGCCAGTGCCAAGGCGAGGGCCAAGCGAACCCCCAGTGGGCGAGGGCCAAGCGAACCCCAGTGCCAAGGCGCGAGGGCCAAGCGAACCCCCAGTGCCAAGGCGAGGGCCAAGCGAACCCCAGTGCCACGGCGAGGCCAGGCGAACCCCCAGTGCCAAGGCGAGGGGCCAAGCGAACCCCAGTGCCAAGGGCGAGCCAAGCGAGGCCAAGGGCCAGCGAACCCCCAGTGCCAAGGCGAGGGCCAAAGCGAACCCCCAGTGCCACGGCGAGGGCCAAGTGAACCCCCAGTGCCACGGCGAGGGCCAAGCGAACCCCCAGTTGCAAGGCGAGGGCCAAGCGAACCCCCAGTGCCACGGCGAGGGCCAAGCGAACCCCAGTGCCAGCGAAAGCGACCCAGTGCCCGAGGGCCAAAGCGAACCCCCAGTGCCAAGAAGAGGCGCCAAGCGAACCCCAGTGCCACGCAAGCGACCCCCCAGGCCACGGAGGGCCAAGCGAACCCCCCAGTGCCACGGCGAGGGCCAAGTGCCCGAGGGCAAGCGAACCCCCAGTGCCAAGGCGAGGCCAAGCGAACCCCCAGTGCCAAGGCGAGCGGCCAAGCGAACCCCAGTGCCACGGCGAGGGCCAAGCGAACCCCCAGTGCAAGGCGAGGACCCAAGCGAACCCCAAGTGCCACGGCGAGGGCCAGCGAACCCCCAGTGCCACGGGCCAGGAGACGCGAAGCGAACCCCAGTGCACGGCGAGGGCCAAGCAACCCCAGTGCCACGGCGAGGGGCCGCCCCAAAGCGAACGAACCCCCAGTGCCACGGCGAGGGCAAGCGAACCCCCAGTGCCAAGCGAGGGCCAAGCGAACCCCCAGTGCCAAGGCGAAGGCCAAGCGAACCCCCCAGTGCCAAGGCCAAGAGGCCAAGCGAACCCCAGTGCCAAGGCGAGGGCTTGCCAGCGAGGCCAAGCAACCCCCAGTGCCAAGGCGAGGGCCAAGCGAACCCCCAGTGCCAAGGGCCACCCCAGTGCCAAGGGGCCAAGCGAACCCCCAGTGCCCGAGGCCAAGGAACCCCCCAGTGCCACGGCGAGGGCCAAGCGAAACCCCCAGTGCCAAGGCGAGGGCCAAGCGAACCCCCAGTGCCAAGACGAGGGCCAAAGCGAACCCCCAGTGCCAAGGCGAGGGCCAAGCGAACCCCAAGTGCCACGGCGAGGGCCAAGCGAACCCCCAGTGCCAAGGCGAGGGCCAAGCGAACCCCCAGTGCCACGGCGAGTGGAACCAAGCGAACCCCAGTGCCAAGGCGAGGGCCAAGCGAACCCCCAGTGCCAAGGCGAGGGCCAAGCGAACCCCCAGTGCCAAGGCGAGGGCCAAGCGAACCCCCAGTGCCAAGGCGAGGGCCAAGCGAACCCAGTGCCACGGCGAGGGCAAGCGAACCCAGTTGCCAGGCGAGGGCCAAGCGAACCCCCAGTGCCAAGGCGAGGGCCACACAGCACCCTCGCAAGGCCGCGGCGCGAGACAAGGGCATGGGAAGGAGTGCCGTAGTGCCAGGAAATGAGTGAGATAACCATAAATATAGATCCTTAAAGCTGCTGTACTGTGCGTAGGCGGGGAGGCAGAGGATCCACACACACACACACACCTTGCCCGGGGCTGTCCGTGGCTCTATGTGCTCGCTCGCTCCGCCAACCCCTCGGCGTGTTTGCAATCAGCTTGCCTCATGCGAGATTGGTTTTGCAACAGATCACGTTTGATCGGTGTAGTATGCGCGAGGTTATTGTTATTATCCTTACTATCATTATCGTTGTTATTATTATTATCATTGATATTATTATTTTTATCATTATCATCATCATTATTATTACTATTGTTATTATTATTATTATTATTATTATTATTATTATCATTATTATTGTTGTTGTTGCTATCATTAGTATAACAATAATTATCATTAACATTATTGCTATCATCATCGTTTATTGTTATATGATGATCATTATCATTATCTTTATTGTTATCATTATCATTGATATCAGTATTACTACTGTTGCATTTATCATCATCATTATCATTATTACAATCATTATCATTTTCATTATTATCATTATTGTTGTTACTATTAGCATCATCATGATCATTACTATTGGTATTTCTATTATTATTCTCATTATCGTTACTATCATAATTATTGTTAATGGTGTTGTTATTATCAATATCATAGATGTTTTCATTTTTTGATAATTTCTATTATCATTACTATCATCATTATCCTCATCATCATTATCATTATTATTGCTATCACCATCATCATCAACACAATCCCTTCCACTTTCTGAAATCATAAAGAATATCAACTTGCAGAGATTCATTTCATCTGAACATGCAAACTGCCGGCCATTTAAGAAACCTCCTGTAGCTTGGAAAAGTCTTTCACATTGCATGCAAGCAGTAATGACAAGAAAAGCGCAAAGTCCTGTTTTCTCTCTCTCTTTATATATCCATCTCATCCTCTCTCTTTCTCTTTATGTATACATTCTCACATACATACATACATACATACATACATACATACATAAATTGTGTTTGTGTGTGTGGGTGTTTATGCACACACACACACACACACACACACACACACACCACACACACACACACACACACACACACACACACACACACACACACACACACACACACACAACACACACACACACACACACAACACACACACAACACACACACACACACACCACACCACACACACACACACACACACACACACACACACACACACACACACACACACACACCACACACACACACACACAACACACACACACACACACACACACACACACACACAACACACACACACCAAACACACACACAAACACACACACACACAAAACACACACACACACACACACACACACACAAACACACACACACACACACACACACATTCCCGAACAGAAAGACATAAATCTACCCGGAAGAAAAAAGCCGAAAATCGCCTCAAGGGACTTACTGCTCTTCATTCTTATCGGAGATTTATCGGAATCTGTTCGTTGGTCCCGATTTGAGTCGCGGATTCCGATTCCTCCTCCATGAGCCGATGAATAGCAAGGATTCGACGATGGTAATGATGATTCGAGCTTTGGTGACCGATCAGTAGATATCTTTTTAAAGGTCGATGGGAAAATAGATATATTTTTGGTTGGTTTAGGTTGTTATTGACGGGGGTGAATGTGCGTTGTTTATCATCTATTTGCTTGATGTTCAGGATGTATTGCTTGCGTGTTATCGTTGTTTGTCGTTTTTGTTAGATTAATGTGGATTATTTTGCAATAAATTTGAATCACCTTTTCCTAGGGAATTATATATTCATCAAAGTGAATACGTATTTTTTTTCTGTTTGAAAGGACAGTCCCTTTAAATTAGATTTTAAATTCCCTCCTATCTCCTTTTTTTCTTCTTTCCTTCTCTTTCTCTTTCCTTCTCTCTCTCTTTTTTCCTTCTCTTTCCCTTTCCTTTTTTCTCTATCTCTTTCTCTCCCTCCTTCTCTTCCTCGCCCTTTCTCTCCTTCCTTCCCTCCCTCCTTCTTTCTCCTCTCCTTCCCTCCCTTCCTACCCTCCTTCCTCCCTCTTTCTTCCTCCTTTCCTCTCTCTCTCTCTCTCTCTCT